ATTTCAAAGGAATAAAGAGAAGCCATAACCAGGGATTAAAGTATTGTAAAGTAATGGGAGGACTTTGAATAACAGAACATTGCAGTTTCTATCTATACATTCTTTTACATTTTCTCAAGAATGCTACAGGGAGGGGATTAATGACTAGAGACGTCCAGTGAAGTCCAGAGACAAGTAGCAGCCCAAGATGCCCAAATGCCATGTTTCTGGCTCCAAGGTCATGCTGTTTCCATAACAACCAGGTTTTTATGTTATATTGACCAAAGAATGATGAAACTGAATTTGTCTTCAGGTCATATTGGAAGCATAATTTATTCTTTTACTTTACAAGATCTTGCATGTATAGGATTAAGTTTTCTGCCCAATGGTGTGTTCACTGTGAATCTACTATCAATTCCTCCATCTAAAATGTGGGCTTACCCACAAAATAAATTTACTGTTGAGGAATTCTCTCTCAAGACTTTGCCTGTAACGATGAGGTTGATGGCTTTTCGAAACCAAGGATAAAAGAAAGCATAGATCAAGGGGTTCATAGCTGAGTTATAATAAGCAATCCAAACCAGTATTTCATAAACATACGTGGGAGTGATGAAACCTAGGAAGGCGTCAATGATGGAGTCCAGGAAGTAAGGCAGCCAGGAGATCAGAAACGCTAGCACTGCGACGCCCAGCGTTCTTGCCGCCTTCCTCTCCCTCCTGGACACTCTGTCTTGGTAGCTGTCTGAGCATCGCCCAGTCTTATTGCTCAGACTCTCAATTTGTCTAGCCTGGTGTTTAGCAATGAGGAAAATCTTGGAGTACAGAACTACCATCACAAGGGTGGGAATGAAAAATAATAGAAAATCCACCAATACCCAACTCTGATTCACTGCAATTTGACAGCCTCCCACACAGGTGAGAGCACTTACTAGATCCTCCAGCCCAGCTGCATTTGCTCCTGTGCCAAAAAGAGAAAAAGAATAAATAATGGGAAAGAGCCAGGAGAAGGCAATACACATGCCAGAAACAGACACAGTGAACCTGGCTGGATAGACCAGGGGGTCAGTGACCGCAATGTACCTGTCCAGAGAGATAAAGCACAGGTGGTAGATGGAAGCGTAACAGAATGACCCATCAAAACAAGAGTGGAGTTGACAGTAACGCTGCCCAAAGTACCAGCAGCTCTCCACCGACCTCACTGTGCTGAAGGGCATCACAGTCACTCCCACCAAGAAGTCCACACAGGCCAGAGAGGCGATCAAGAAGTTGGTAGGAGAATGCAGCTGCTTGAAGTGGAGAACTGCAATCATCACCAGGAGATTTCCAAATACAGCCAGCACAGCTCCAAAGATGAACACGGTGTAGAGGATGAGGCGGGGACCCGGTGAGTAGGGGGTTTTCACACAGGATCCGTTCAGGTGCTCGTAGCAGAGCGGCACAGCCGCAGCAGAAGGAGACGCACTGCTCATGATTCTCTGATTTGATCCCTGGAAACCTGTCACCCTCTGTGGCCCAGGATGTCATTCCAGTTTTCAAAATGTCCTTAAAGAAAAGATAAATACAATGTCAGCAGTTGCCAGTGTATTCTGTCTTTAATTCCTTGTAAGTGCAAATCTTTATTTGCATGTTTAGAATGTGATTCATATCCTCATCTTGTAAAATAATCACTTTCAAATGAATAAGCAGTTAATTTTCAACACTACATAAAATGCTGTTAATTTAACTTAAAAAATCTTACCTAGTTTTTCATATCAAAGGAGAGGTTGTTTTCAAGAAGGTATTACATGATACGTGTTCGAATGCCACATTTTATTAGCATTATTTCCCTAATTTATCAGAATAATGCTCCAAACACTCTCTCCCCTCAGGAATATAACTGAATAATTTCAATTCCCAAAGCCCTTAAGACTGAATCCCCATAAGTTTAAGGTGCTTAGAAAGAAAAAATTAAATAACAATTATGTTTATGCTAAAATAAGTCTATGCCCTACTAATTCCCTACTAATGACATTTTAGCTTTGCACGGAACAGAATAGTGCCTATCCCTTAAAACCTTTGAGTGGAATTTGAAAGTCATATTATTTGCTATTATTAAATATTGCCCTTTCACTTTTGTTAGAACCATTTATGTATGATTTCTGTGTTGAATGTCACTAGAACTCTTTCAGATAAACTCTTTATCCCTACCAGCGTTGATTTGTGTTAAAGAAATTAAATGTGTGGGTTCAGCTGCTCAGTCCCTCCGTCGTGTCTGACTCTTCGTGACCACACGGGTTATAGCCCACCAGGCTTCTCTGTCCATGGAATTTTCCAGGCAAGAGTACTGGAGAGGATTGCCATTTCCTTCCCCAGGGGATCTTCCCAACACAGGGATCTAATATGTGTGTTTTATGTCTCCTGTATTGGCAGTCGGATTCTTTACCACAGCACACACTGGAAAGCTCAAAGAAGTTAAATAATCATATGTTAAATATTTGAATGATTCAGGTTTACCTTTAAAAATTCTGACTTGGGAAAGTGGGGCAGTTTGCCTCAGGGAACAAAGGAAGTGGAAGTACAAACAAAGCACTGTTTCTGCTCCTGTTGTTGTTGGAGTTGCAGTGAGAGCAGTATGAAAGATATTTAAAAAATTAAAATGTTGAAAGGACTTTTGGAATGTGGATATTCCTATGTTACACTCTGGATTCTACCACTGACAAATTTCCTTTTCCTCTCAGCAGTCTAGAACAGATCTCACCTTAGTTTTTTAAAAAGTGTTTTCTGGGGCTTCCCTGATCGCTCAGTGGTAAGAATCTCCCGAACAGTGCAGGAGACACAGGTTCGATCCCTGATCAGGAAAGATCCCGGAGGCCAAGGAGCAACTGAGTCCATGCACCGCAACGCTGAGCCTGAGCTCCAGAGCCCGGGAGCCGCAAACCGAGGCCACGTGCTGCAGCTCCTGAAGCCCCCGCACCACGTGCTGGGCAAGGAGAAGCCACGGGGGGAAGACTGCGCACTGCAGCTGGGGGAACAGCCTGCTCGCTGCAACCAGAGAAAAGCCTGCACCATAGCGAAGACCCAGCACAGCCCTAAACTGAACAAATACAATGACTTTCTCTGAGGAATGGCTTCTATGTTTAAAAATCAGCTTTTTCATACTGAGGCATAAAATAAATTTGAAAAGTTTACATTTTTAGCACGCATGGACTGATGACATGAGAAATGTATCCACCCTTATATTCACCACCACAACCAAGGTAGAAAGCAACACCCTAACAATTCTCTTCAGGCCCTTTTATAGTTAATCTCACCCCACATTTCCTTTCTCCTGTCCTGGGGAAAACGTGGATCTCCATTCTATGGCTAGAGATTAATTTTCAAGGCCTAAAAATATCTTTTATGAAAAGAGTCACAAAGTTTGTCCTCTTTGGTGCCTGACTTATTTCACTCAGGTTGATGTCTGTGAGTTTCATCCATGTCTGAGTATATTTTCAGCTCATTCCTTGTTATTGCTAAATGTAATTCCATTGTCTGAATATACCACAATTATTTTATCCGTATTTTGCTGTTGTTCAGTTGCTCAGTCATGTCTGACCAGTTGATAAATATTCAGACTGTTCAGCTTGGGGTTGTCATATTGCAAAGTGTAGGTTTAAATCTGCAAGAAAGTATATACTATCTTCTAAAGTAATTGGATCATTGTATACTCCCACCATCAAGCTACGAGTGTTCTGGTTTGCTCCAAATCTTTCATTCCTCCTGGTGGATTGTCTATCGACTTAAAAGACTTTGGAATAAATCAAAGCTTATCCATTATACTTTATCTTACTTCTCCAACTCCATGTGAGAGGCCAACATGTGGACAAGTAATGACAACTCAATGTGGTGACGGATCTGACACAGACAGTGCAGTGGGGGTCACCACAATGAAGCGGGAACTGTATCCACAGGCAATTTTACCAAGCAGGTGACTATAAAGACAGGTCGAGAGGATCGAGGAGATATGTAAGGTAAAAACAGACAGGGCTTTCCCAGGCAGAGAGAGGTGTGTGTCGAGGCTGGGAGATGGCGTCTGGACGCATCCGCAGGGCTGAGAGCATCCGCAGGGCTGAGAGCGGGGTAGCGCAGGCGCAGTGTGGGGGCGGCGTGCGCTCCAGGAGCCCTGCGCACAACCTGACCTCACCCCCTCGTTTCCACGAGCTGTTTGGATTTCTGCAGAGGTCAGAGGGCAGGAGGGGCGAGGACATGTCACCCGTGGTGACAGATACAAATCTTCACTCCACCTGCTCAGGTATGCTAGATAGGATTTATTTTTCTGCAATACTTTTGAATCTACCTAGAGCCTCACATTGCACCAGGTACAAGAAAAATACCTCAGTAAATATGGGGATTGTGACCTTTATCCCCACAGTGTCATCCATCTTCGGAGAGCTTGGTCTCACACTAGTATCTGTGGGTGTTCTTTGAGGTCTGTCTTCTGAGGAATGCATTTTTCTACCTCTACGGGGCAGACTTATAATCTTCACTGGTGGCTCTGTCCATGGAATTTTCCAGGCAAGAGTACTGGAGTGGGTTGCCATTTCCTTCTTCAGGGGATCTTCCTGATCCAGGGATCGAACCCAGGTCTCCCGCATTGCAGGCAGACGCTTTACAGAAGAATTCGCTTACCAGTGCAAGGGATGTGGGGTGATCCCTGGGTCAGGAGGATTCCCTGGAGAAGGAAATGGTAACCCACGCCAGTATTCTTGCCTGGGACATCCCAGCTACTGTAGCCCGCCAGGCTCCTCTGTCCACCGGTCACAAAAGAAAAGACAAGACTCACAAGAGGCTAAACAACAAGGGGCAGGCTGGGCAACGTTCCCCCTTCCAGAGGGGAAATGCTCCTTCCACCCTCGCTGGGAGGTGAAGTCTCTCTGAAAATATGTGCATCTACTCAACACATTTACTGTGCCTGATTATCGCTTTTCAAGAAATGACCTGAAGAGCAGAAATAAAGCACAAGTGGAACGTTGAACCATGACTCTTGGTAGCTTCCATCGCTGTTAAAGAAAGCACGTAATTAATATAGACAAGAAGAGTTGGAACATCTTAATGATCTGCTGAAAGAAAACCGTAAAAATACTTAAAAATATTAAGATATAATTTCTTAGATACTTTATATAAGGTGCAGTTTCTAAAATATACTAATGTACCTATGTCATAGTTTCATTAGATAAGACAAAAATATACCAAAGATATATTCTCAAAAGAGATTCCCCCCCCCAAATAAAACAAGCAAGCACACAGATAAAGCTAATGATGCTTAGATAAAAATAATGGTGGTATTATTAATATCAATTTTAACCTATGTATTTTAATCACAAACATTAGAATGATAAAGCTAAATTACAAAGTAAATCCCCCTTCCCAAGCACAGACACTGTGTGTTATACATAAAGTTACATTTTGTAAAAGTGTAATATGGGGACCTAGTCCATATATTGTTTTATAATCTAGGTCAGATTTTTTTGCTTCTGTTTTCTTTCGATTTTAGTGAAAAAAAATATATTGTGGATGTCTTACCACATGTTACAAATGTTACAGGGCATTTGTTTTTTTTTTTTTTTCTTTTGCATTTGTTCTTTTTAATGGTTTTGTAATGTTCCATTTCAAAAGTAGAATATAATTGATTTAATTTGCACCATGTCAATCCTAGTTTATTTCAATCTATAATTGAGAGATATACAATGAATGTCCTTGTCATGTTTCCTTCCTTGCCTGACTCTATCTTCTTAGGCTTGCTTGGCAGAAATGGAAGAACAGAGTCAAGTGACATGTGATTTGAAATTTTACATAAATGTCTTAATTTTCCTCCAAGAGAAGAGATACTAAATTGTGTTTTTCCTATGTATATATGAGCATGCCCAACTCTCAGCAGTATGCTCAACTTCTCAGAATCTAATTAATCTGATATTAATGATCCTTTCAATGCTGTCCTTCCAATTTGAGATATGAAACTCTATTACATTTTAACTAACTTTTAAAATTATTTGTACATTGGACATTTTAATGTATTTATTAGCCACACCTCTGTAAAATTTCCTGTTTATTTGTTTAGTGGGACATTTGCCTCCATCTTTCTATTGTGTAAATTGCTTTTACATTTTTTAAATCTACTAATTCTTCATCATGCATGCTANAACTGTCTGACAGCCTCCTACACAGTTGAGGGCCCTAGACAATTCCTCAAGCCCATTCTCATGGGCACCCGTGTAGAACACGGCACCACTGTAAGTGATGGGCAGGATCCAGGAGATGCTGATGCAGACCCCTGACACAGACACCGTGAACTTGGTGGGATAGACCAGGGGGTCAGTCACAGCAATGTACCTGTCGATGGAGATGAAGGACAGGTGGAAGAGAGAAGAGTAACAAAATGCTGTGTCAAAGCAGGTGTGAAAAGTGCAGAAAGTTCGCCCAAAGTACCAGCAGCTCTCCACGGACCTGACCATGCTGAAGGGCATCACAGTCACTCCCACTAGAAAGTCTGCACAGGCCAGAGAGGCGATGAGAAAATTGGTTGGGGAGTGCAGCTGCTTGAAATGCAGGATGGCAGTCATCACCAGGAGGTTTCCAAACACGGCCAGCACAGCCCCAAAGCCATATACCGCGTACAGAATCACCCGGGATGTAGGCGAGAAGGGGGTTTTCACACAGGATCCGTTCAGGTGCTCGTAGCAGAGCGGCACAGCTGTGGTGGGGGCCGAGTTGCTCATGATCTGCCCTTTACACTCAAAGAATTCTGTCCTTCTTGAGTTCCACGGAGTTTCTATGCTTCTGGGGGAATACATACAGTAGGATGCCTGAGGAAATTATCATACTATTGTTTTTTCAATTTTCCTTTTTTGTTATAAATCTTAAATAAGTTCAGTAACAGAATAAAATGCAAAAAATTTACACTGGGCAAAGTCACTGGGAGTGAATTTCAACTAACTAAAGCTCAGATCCCTGAATTTGATAAAATTTCCTTTTGGTCCTAAATATCTTTAAAAAATTTTTACCTTCAGAGTTCCTCTTTGCAACAGGCACTGATATGGGAAGTAATTATAGCATCAACTCCTGTTAGGTTTATCTGCCTTACTGCCTAAAGCATACAGCCCTTCCAGATATATAAACGCCATCAATAGGAAAATCCCTAGATGGAATCCCTGTAGTGTAAGGTGTGAACTTGGAAGTTTATTTTCAGTAGTGAGTGTGCAGAAAGTTACTGTACAAACAACCATTTTAATTAGGTCATTATGTTTCTTGAGCTCAAGATTTTTTTTCTTCTCACACTTGAACTTTTCCCCCATTTTTAGTCCTGCTGTGACCACCTTATTGGATTTTTGTTACAGAGATATAATAAGGTACAGACACTGCGAGTCGACACTTAGCTTCTCTCTCCCAATAAGAATCATTTTTTTACCTGTGTATTGGCTGCTAACAAACAGGAAAGGTAGCATACAGTGTGAGCAACTTGAGACAGATGAATTACATTTCAGGAAAACATTAAAAAAAACCACCATGGTATTTAGACATGTCCACGTTTCTGAACTACTACGACTGTCCGTGCTCTTAGAGAAATGATGTGTTCTCTTCTCTAGACATCATTGGAAGTGGGTCTGTAGCGTCTCCTCATCCATGTGAGCAGTCCGCACATTAAACCCTCCAAATGATTCACATTCGTTTCTGAATCCACGTGGTAGAACTTTCTGTCCTTTGTGCTAAAAAATGTCAACGAAGGAACAATGAACAGAAAACTGAAACACAGCAATACATTTCTTGGTAATTTCCCACCCTTGGAATGTCGGGACAGGGCAGAGCAAAAGATAGTATTACGCAGGCTTCTTCAAGGATTCCAGACTCTGGCCACTGTAGGGCCACTGACTTTGAAGATATATCTGGACTTGTTCTTTTGAATTGTGCCATAGGAATTATGATTAATTCATCCGGCCATTTGATTCCTAATCACACACACAAAAAATACTCTTAATGATCTCTTAGATTCTTCCTAATGTATTCTGAGAGTTTGATTTTGTAAAATAATCAGTTACTTTAAGTCGACAAAGGTGTAGGCTAGGCTTTCTCAGCTTCAGCACTATTGACATTTGAGTTCTGATAAGTTTTGATGTGGCATCTGTCCTGTACATCAAAGGGCATCTAGCAGCATCCCTGATACTAGATGCCACTAAAATCCCCTTAATTATGAAAGCCAAAAATATCTCCAGACACTGAGAAGTGTCCTCTGAGGGGCAAATGTATCAGAGAGGGAATGAGTGAAATGAGCTCAGTTGGGTCTGACTCTTGGCAACCCCATGGACACCTCTGTCCATTCTAGGCTCCCCTGGCCATAGAATTCTCCAGGCCAGAACACTGGAGTGGGTAGCTGTTCCCTTCTCCAGGGGATCTTCCTTCCCAACCCTGGGATCGAACCCAGGTCTCCCGCATTGCAGACGGATTCTTTACTGTCTGAACCCAATATATTAGTGGATATGCCTTACTTAGAACCATGATTCTAGGCAAAAAAAAGTATCACATGATCACAAGTATCGCAAGTATCACTTGTCATTGGGGGTACAGAAATAACTTTATCTCCCTCCATTATTTTAAATTTATTCAGTAATTAATTCTTTAATCCAAAGCATAGTTATTGAGTGCCAGGAGCTGGGTACAAAGAAATGAATGAAATAGACATGACCTCTTTCTTCATGAAACTTTCAGTCTTGAAAGGAGAACAAACCTTCAACAAGTAAGCAGATAAGTGGATGTATGAATAAAAATTGGGAGAAGTATTATAACGGTGAAAGGCATTATTGTGTGAGAGAGTAATAATCGCATAGACAGGCAGGTGCAGACAGTAAAGTTCCTGCCAACAGAATAAACCCAAAATGCTGCTGCAACTTTGTAGACTTTTAATGTAATATATGGGCTTCCTTGGTGGCTCAGTGGTAAAGAGTCTGCCTGCTAATGCAGGAGATGCAGGTTCTATCCCCGGGATAGGAAGATTCCCCTGTGAAAGAAATGGCAACCCGCTCCAGTGTTCTTGCCTGAGAAATCCCTTAGACAGTGGAGCCTGGTGGGCTATAGTGCATGGGGTTGTAAAAGTGTCAGACACGACTGAACAACTAAAAACAACAATAGCAAATAGAATATATACTCAGAGAAAGGAAATAGGAAATGAATGGAACTATAGTTGGGGTTTTCAGACTTTTTTAGCATAGAGAAACTTAATGAGAAAGAAATATTACACCAGAAGTATAGAAAGAGGGGAAGAGGGAGAGATAGAAGTCTAGCTGTGGTCTAGAAGCAGGATGGGATGGGAGACCTGAAGCTTTTTCTGTGTAAAACCTGGACTGACCCCTAGGTCTCTGTAAAGTGAGGAGTTAGATTCCTCCCAAAGTAAAGCACACTTTTCTTTTATGAAATTATTGCAAAGTATATATGATTGTTCTTGCTGCTGTTGTTGCTTTTTGCGGTGTCCTTGGTTGGCAAAGTTAACACTCAGAAATAATCTGTCGGTTCCTTGAATTTTTCACCATTCTTATTATTTCTGAACCCCATGTTTCTAAGAACCACCATCCTGATAAATTAGTCTTTTTAATAGTAAAAGTGGTATTTTATAAAGTTACAGACATAGAAAACAATTTATGGTTACCAGGGTATAAGTGGTGGAGGGATAAACTGGAAGACAGGTTGACATACACACAATTTCTGTATATAAAATGAACTTCCACAATATTGTAAAGTAATTAGCCTCCAATTAATAAAAATAATTGGGGAAAAAATAAAAAAATAAAAATGAATACATAAAAAAAAGTAAAAAGCAAAAAAAAAAAGGACTTCCCAGATGGCTCAGTGGTAAAGAATCTGCCTGCCAATGTGACTGAACAACAAAATGGGCAGTGAGTATGTTATGCTTAAATTTTCTTGTCCTGAGTTGAAACATAAATTGCATTCCAGCAGTAGCTTGCAAACCAAGATTAAATAGGAAAATTACTATATTGAAACCAAAGGAATCAAAATAAATTCATTACATTCTGTTTTAGAACTGAAAAATTGTGTATAAACTGATACCACGCAGGCTAGGGTGCCTTTAATTATCTGTAAAATCAGATAGAAACAGTATGCTCAGTCACTAAGTCGGGTCCGACCCTTTGTGACCCCATGGACTGCAGCCCGCCAGGGTCCTCTGTCCATGGTATTTCCTAGGCAAGAATACTGGAGTGGGTTGCCATCTCTTTCTCCAGAAACAGTATAATTAGAAATAATACCACTGCAATGTTGTAAAGTAATTAGCCTCCAACTAATAAAAATAAACGGAAAAAAAAATTCACTGTTTAATATTAAAAAAAAAAAGAAATAATACGCTATTTCTAGAAATACTTACCAATTCAAAGTATTTGTGTAATGGTAGTCAGAAATAATGTGTTAATAGGTAATGTTGATTTACATCAAACTAGAAAATTTTAAAATATAGAAAGAATACTTTGATGTATATTCTCTCCTGCCCCAAAGATATCATAATTTGATTTTAAAATCTTAAAGTCTAATTGACACACAGAACCCTCCAGTCTTAGTATCAAGAATAATTCTCTGAAATAATTGGCTTGATTAATCCACTGTTAATTGCAGAACTAATTCATTTCCTTTTTTTTTTTTTGCCTTAGAACTGAGTTTGTGGGTCATAAGAAAATGCATTTCACAGCTTCTGTCTTGGCTTCATTCTATGCCCTTCACTTCAGTTTTCTTTCTTCTTTTGAGCACACTTTTAAGTTATGCTTTCAAGTGTATCCTCAAAATCCACTATAAATTACTTTTAGAACACTATACAACTAAATGAATATGGAATAAATTAATCTGAAAATAAAGTAACATAATGAATGACAGTCTTAAAACCCTGCTTTAAACATCTGCTAACTGGTTCTAAACTCTAATATAATTTTATGAGCAGACTTACTAATAAGGAAGAAGCTCACTGAATAAATAAGTGTTATGATGCAAATTATCTTTCCCATTGGACATAACTGAATTGATATTATAGTTAACAGAGTGATCACTTGATTGATATTACCTGACTCTGAAACCACAACGTGGGAATCACAGATCTCACCACCTAACAGAGCAGACCCACTGCTTTGACCTCCCTAAGCAAGGAGGCACCACGTCACTAAGTGGTTGTGTTTACATTTTAATAGAAAAATAATACAAAGGAAGAAGCAAAAGATTTAGGCAGAGATTGAACTAATATAAGGTAACTGAAAGAAGGATTTATATTAACAAATATATATTAGGTCCTTCACTTGTATTCTCCTAAATTTGGTCATGACTACTAGGAGGGAGAGGTTATTAACCAGAGAAATACCATGAATTCCAGAAAGAGCCAAGCCACCCAAGATCACCCAAGATCACCCAAGATCACCCAAGATCACCTAAGATCACCCAAGATCACCTAAGATCACCCTAGTGTTCCAACAGCAGAGTGGGTATTGCCATCCAGGCATTTCTGGCTCCAAAGCTGTGTTGTCCCTTCAATGATGGAGTCCAGGAAGTAAGGCAGCCAGGAGATCAGAAACGCCAGCACTGCGACGCCCAGCGTTCTTGCGGCCTTCCTCTCCCTCCTGGCCACTCTGTCTTGGTAGCTGTCTGAGCATCGCCCAGTCTTAATGCTCAGACTCTCAATTTGTCTAGCCTGCTGTTTAGCAATGAGGAAAATCTTGGAGTAAAGAACTATCATCACAAGGGT